TAGAAAAAAAAAAAAAAAAAAAAAAAAAAAAAAAAAAAAGCCCTGAATCACCAGAAGAAGCAGTAGAGGGATATGATTTTCAAAAACCCTCATCGTTACATCACTGACAAAAATACTAAAGGTTGAGAGTTGGAGCAGTTGCAGCTTTTCCTTGCTCTTGTTAGTATATTTAAATGATCTTTTCTGTGGCTGTAATTGTGCTGTTTTCCATATGACTTTGATCATTTAAGTCTGTTTATCCTTTCTAGTTCTTGAGAGAGGAAAACCAAGCATCCACTTTTTGGGGAGAGAAAAAAAAAAGGCTTAGGTCAGCAGACTGTGCATTGGTGTCGCTGTGCATTGAGCTTAAGAATTTGGGATGTGAAAGAATGAACATGTTCCATCTGGGCAAAAAAATGATGTCTGTTAGGGTTCAGTTTGCTATGGTTTTTGAGCTTTCTGTATGATCTCATCACTGGAGGAGGAAAGTATATTCTCCCATAAGAATAATCTCATAGTTATGATTCATTACTACTGTGGTTTTTTGTGTGAGCCTTTTGAGTGCCAGACCTCCCCCCACTCTTCCACCCCAAATAAAAAACAACCACCCTGTCTTTGGCTTTTTATGGTATTGCTGTAGGTGGATAAGTATCCAGAATAATGGTTGGCTTTAACAATCAGAGCCTTACATCTTTGTCTAGAGAAGAACTCCTCCTAACATATTTATCCAGCTATTTGTCAAGCTTTATATTTTGGGAAGAGAGCTTGTACACTTTGTTTCCTAAGGTTTGGTAAGCACTGTTTTGCATGAATGTTCCCTCTTATGAGTTTTCCTTTTCATATACTGAGGTTGGCAAGTTTACTTGGGAAGAGACAATTTCTTAATTTTTCTTAGTTAATATTTAGATTGTCGCTTTAGTTCCCCAACCCACTACCCTAATAAGTTAGCAATCAGTTCTTTGAGCAGCTGTGCCTTTGGCAGTAGCATTTGAAGCTGGAGATGGAGCCCATCGCTTATTCTCCCGCATCCCCTAATGAGCTCTTATGTTGGGAAGGTGCTGGCTAATCCAAGTGTAATGATTTCTGGAACGCTTACACCAGTATAGCACACCAGAAAAAGGAAAATTTGTAGATAGGCAAGTAAACCCTGTAGGACGCTTTTTGAAGGCCTAATGACATGGCAAACAGATGAAGAACCTTTTCCTTTTCTCTTGCAACATGACTGTAGACAATTTGTTTATTTCCCACTAGTGCTAAAGTAATCTGTCCATAAAAAAATGCGTTTGTGATCAGACCAAAGTGATTCTGGTGCAGTGAATGAAGTCAGTCATCTTCTAGCATCTTACAGTCGGTTCCTGCAGTCTAAGGGATGTATTGTAGGAAACCCTGTGGACTGTGAAGAGTTCATGTATAAATACTGAGATAATTAAAGATCTGTCTCCTTTAGAAGTACAGCAGGGAAGTGTAATAAGCTTGAAGAGCAAGAAATATGATAAACGACACTGTTTGGATTCACTTAGCTCCTGCTTCTTTGAACTGAAATTTAAGTTCATATATAGTAGAGGAACACAAAGGGCACTTGCTCAGGTTTTAGTAACAGTCTGTATGTTAAACTCGGCATTTTCCTAGGAAAGGGTGGGTCATGGAAAGAAAACTAAACCTTGTTTCTCATTAGACCTGTCAAAGATAGAGTCATGAGCTAAGAGCATGGATATTTGAGGTTAGTGAAATTCAGGTATGCATCTTGTTTTTAAAAAGAAAAAACTTTTTGAGACTTAAATACTTTATGGTGTCTAATTGCTGTAATATAATATGCTGTATTTGAATATTGAACTATCAAATGGTCATTGAAGAGCAGACCTCAAGATTCTTCTTTGCTAAAGCTCCTGCCTCCATGCTTTTCTTCAAAACAAAATGTAATCACTTTAGAGTGCAGAACTTCTTACTAAGAGAAAGAAATTGAATTAATCTCCCCTACATCTAGTAATGTGCAATTATTGAACCCTGGAAAAAGGCTAGCAACTGTGGTGGTTTAATTTGTTTCTGATAGTGATAGTCATTTTTCCATCTTACTGCTGCAATCTGATAAACAAAGTGACGGGTGGTAGGAACTGGTGGCAGGAGGGGAGCATGTCACCTTCAAACTGGTACCTGGATATGAAAATTATAGACCTGGAACATTAAAATTTTAGTTACAGGATTTGTGTGAAATGAAGGCAGAAGGCTTATTGTGTAGTGATTGAGTAGGTCAACTGGAAATTGTGTTTGTATTTGTCATTTTTTAAAGTATGTGAATCATCTCATAGCTTTATATGGGTAAGAATCATCCCCTGCTATTAAGAAATTTATTTTAAATGGAGCATGAAATATTGGAGATCTAGACTTGTGTAATATTTCCAATTATAAGGCACGGCCTGAGAAGTGGAACTAAAATAGTTCAGCAGTTGTTAAAGAAAAGCTAGAAATTCTACTCAAGGTCATCTTATTTGCTCTTATGAATTGTGCAGTTGAATACCAAATAGTTCTAAAATGAGCAGGTTTTCTTTTCTTGTTACATTAAATAAAATCATGTAAAAACTCTTATAAAACTTAGGCCTGTGGAAGGACCAGGGCAGGGCAAAGAGTGAGAACGCTCTGAATAAGAACATCTGAACCTGATGATCTGTCCTACTGATTAAGTCTTCTGATCACTGTACCATTACTTAATCACTGTCTGGTTCTGCCTTTGTTATAGTTAGAACATATTAGCTTATATTCATACTTTCAATTTTTAATACAATCTAAATGATTTTTTTATCTGTCTGACACATGATTGAGATGAAGTTATTTTTTGGCAAGAACTCTGCAAACCACGTGGCTCTACTTCCAAATGGGTATCTAGGTCCTGTCACCTATGGTTTATCATGCCTGTGATTGATCCAAATTCAAATGTAGCAAAAATCTGTTTTGGGTGCAGAAACTTTCAAAGTTTTCTGTGATACTGTTATGCATTTTAGAAAACCACTACTGTTTGACCTGTACTTTGTGAACAGTACAGAATGTTTCTGGGTTTGAACTTGAGGATAGTCATGTGCCAAAATACTCTAAAAATAAAGAAATCCAGTAGGTTCTTGTATTGTCCTCCTTTCAGATGAGGGAACCTTCTTACTTACCTGTGGCATGTTTTTAATGGGACTGTCAAACACCTGAAACTTGTAACTAATTTTGTTTTCTTTTCATCTAATCTTTATTCTTGGATCAGATGTGGTCCTTTCGGTCTAAACTGTAAACTACGCTTAGAAAAGAGGCACTGTATATATGTATATATATTATAATTTTACTATCCCTGTATTGAACTAATTTTTGGCTAGAAAAAGGGTCGTCTAATTAGAGGTTGTTATCCTATTCTGATCTAGTTGTTGAATAGGTGAAGAGACTAGAACGTGTCCATTTTTAAAAATAAGAATATATTTTCTCATCTGATCTTGAATCTCTCACATGCATAAGAGGCATGATCTTAGTATTCTCTTTTCTCCCCTAGCCATGAAAAGCATCCCAGTGTTGAGAACTTCTCTAATTGTTGGAGTGACGTGGAAAGTGTAATAGAAATTGATGCTAAGTTTTCTCAAAACATCAGTATTGAAAGTTGACAAAACAGCTGGATACATTCCTGAATTTTCTTGTGCTGGGAGATGGAAATAAGATATTGGGAAATTCAGCGTGCTCTTTAAAAAGAAAAAAAAAAAAAAAACACGAAAGACTGGGAGGGGAGTCATCTTCTCCCTTCATAAAATATGAAGAAATATTTCATTACTTTCCTGTTGTAATTTATGAAGAATGCATGTCTCTCCAGCCTTCTCCTGTTTCCAAACGACAGGCCACATTCCTTGCAAGCCAGGCATCATGTGCTTTCTATAATGTTGGATGTGCTGGAGTGGTACGTTCAGAGAATTTGACTTACTGATAAGAAATCATTCCTTTCTATTTTTATTTCCTGTCTGCATCTGGATATTTCCCACAAAGACAACTTGCGTAGTATCACCCACTCCTCTCCTAATAAATAGCGTGTTTATGGTATGTTCTGCTTTCTTGTGTTTCTAATACGATGACGTTCATGTTATGTTCCCTTTTAAGTTTAGGCTGTACCATAGCTTCCAGATGACTGCCGTAATCAGGATTAGCTACTGATGAAAATGTGCTTTTCAGTATTCAATAGAACCTTTTCTCAGGGAGAAAATGTTACATCTAGGTGTCAACTGTTGTAAAATGTGTCAAAACCAAAAAGCATTTCATTTATGAGCAGGTGAATTTTTTTGTGCTGAACTTTGTCGTGTGTGTGTTTTTTCTTCTGTATATGTTAAAGGGAGCAAGGGCCTTCCAATTCTTGTTTCTTGTAGAAATAATTGCCACTGGAAAATGTAAACTGTATGAAGCTAGTGCAACTCCAGATTCTTTGTTCTCCAGTCATTGCAGATAACTTTGTATATGGTTGTGGCATTTAATTAAACTTCAAGGTTGGTGGTGAGGAGAAAGGGGCAGGGGGAAAAGTGCAAGGAAAGGAAAAGTAAATATCTTCTTGGTCTCTTTCATTAGTAGTTAGGCCTGTTTGTCTTGACCACAACTCTTCAGAATGAACACCTTTAAGCAAAAGTCAAAGTGCTAGTGGTTTTGTAATTAGAAAGGTGGATATTTCAGCAAGTTGCAAGGAATATTACTTTAACATTCTGAGTTTAAAAAAAAAAAAAAGTCAACCGAAAAGATGATTATTTGCCATAAGTAATTTCATGTTCTACTCTAAAATACTTGTATTTTAACAGTGAACAGAGTATCTGCCAAGCACGAGCTGCTGTAATGGTCTACGATGATGCCAATAAGAAATGGGTACCAGCTGGTGGATCAACTGGATTCAGCAGAGTTCATATATATCATCACACAGGCAACAACACATTCAGAGTAGTGGGCAGGAAGATTCAGGATCATCAGGTAAGCAAATCTCTGAAAATATGGAATAGGAATCTTAAGCTATTTTTGTGATTGTTTTTAACATTAAGCCTTCAGTAAAATTATGGGAACTGTAAATAATAAATTTACTTTTATTTTGAACTGAAGTAGCAAAATTGTATTATGGCTTTTTCCCCATAAACTAATCACTTTACATACGTCCAAGGCAACAGTCCTTGTGCGCTCTTTACCATTCCTTCCTACAGACAGATATAAAGGCTAGTGGCGTACACAGAAGTCATCTGATTCTCTTTAAGGCAAAGCGTTAACCTAGGAACTTTTCTTCTTCCCTACTCTGCTTTTAGCTGCAGTGTATGTGGGTACCAACAGTTCCCTTGTAGCTCTTCCTATATTATGAGAAGTTGAATGCATGATTTCTCATTTCCTCAGATCAGTTAATTCAAAAAAACCCTTCTGACGTTTGGTAATGCTGATAATCTACCACTTTGAGAGGTTGAGAAGGGAGTGACAAGGGTTGCATCTTAATTTCCTTGATGAAGAAGTTATTAGATCTTGATTAAATGGCAAACTTAGCACTCTGCCTTGAAATATGCTCTGCCTTGTGATATTTGGGTTGGGGTTAAAGATCTAATATTTTTGTTTGAGGAAAGCTTCTATATCTGTTTCCCTCTCTCCCAGCATTTCACAGAATTCTTTTGGTCTGTTCTTGGTCATTTATCACACAACTGAAGCATAGACTGATAATCTCCTGTGTGATTTGCCATTAAACACTTATTCCAAGAATAAATTATCTCTGTGCATTCATCTGAGAACAAACCTGGGGTTTTTCTCCCATTATTTGTGGAAAAAGGTGAGAGGATGTAGTTATCCAAGTGCAATGGGATCCTCTTAGTGGAATGTAGCTTATAGTAAATGGTTGCCCTACTAGCTAGAATTTGTCACCTTTTGTGTGAGCCATAATGACCATGCAAAATGATACCTTGTGATGCACAGAAGTCCACATAAACTGCTACCAGAAGCACGGCAACCTAAGGGGCGCAGCAGCCACAGTGAGAAGGTGGTAACTTGGTTAAAAGAACATAATTCTAACAAGTACTGTGTGAAGTTAACAGAAAAATGAGTTTCCGAAATCCAAATGCATATTCACATCAAGTATTCTGCTACTAAAAGTCAGAACTGTTGATAACACGACATTGCTATTACAAAACATCACTGCATCATTTGAATTGAGAATGCTTAAGCTACAGAAGTTGATACAAAATATCTCATTAGTCCCCTTGTGTACTCTCCTCACTGATTTCATGCGGCATTGGAATTAAAATTGAAACGGCTATGTGCTTCAACATTGTGGTCTTGTGGATTGTGGGACTAGGACTATTCCCTAACCACACGGTTAGGGAATAAAATCTACATGAAGCTGAAACTTGTGATGAAATAGCAATTTTAAACATAAGTCTTTTTTTTTTTTTTTAAATTATTATAGGTGGTAATAAATTGTGCCATTCCAAAAGGGCTGAAGTACAATCAGGCTACACAGACCTTCCACCAGTGGCGTGATGCTAGGCAGGTGTATGGTCTGAATTTTGGCAGCAAAGAAGATGCCAATGTCTTCGCAAGTGCCATGATGCATGCCTTAGAAGTATTAAATTCACAGGAAGCTGGTAAGAGTCTCTTAACTTTTTTTTTTTTTCTTTTTTTTTTTTTAAGATTGTTCAAATGCAGAGATGGAAAAAAATTCAAATGTTTATGCATAAAAGTCAGTAAGTCTTGTTTCTAATCATGATTCAGCCTCTAGCCATTTTAATTATTTGTGTGTTTTGTCTGCCTAATTGCTGCCGCTTAGTCGTTATTCTCAACTTGACTGCCATCTGTGTAAATGCAGTTCTTAACAAGTAAACCTGTTTTTGTGTTATCTATTACGTATAGAAACGTGCTGACTTTGCTTTTTATTTTTTTAGGAAACAAAACCAAAACACCTGACTAACAAACGTGTAGCTCTTAGTCAGGGTACTTTTCAGGATTTCTAGAGACATCCAGTGTTCTTAATGCATACTCGTATTTTTCCTTCTCATTAAGTACTGGTTTATTATGAAAATGTTAGGGTTGGTTTTTTTTTTTTTTCCCCTCCAAACTTTGGAATTCAGGTCATCCTCTTTGGCAGTTCTTACCACACAGAGTTTTCTAGCTTGGAGACCTTGGATCCAGGGGTGACATTAAGATGAGCACATATAATTTAGACAATAGATGTGTCATTTAATTTGTTTGGAGAACAGGATGATGGAGAGAGTTTAAAACATTGGTGGGAAACTTGGTGGCTTTTAGTCTTCAAGGGTGTCTGTAATATATTCTAGATAGGCTCTCCCGCAAACTGATCAGTATGACACTGGGACACACGCAGAAGGAGTTTTCATTTTAAAAGACTTCAAGAGACTTTTGTGGTTTTGTAACCAAATAGAATTCTTTTGTCATTAAACTTTAAAGATTGCCCATGTAACAAGAGATAATACTTCTGGGCCAGTTTTCTTTCTCTTTTATAGAAGAGAGGCTGTAGATAACCTTACTAGCACTGTCTCAACAGCAAAAAAGGGTGACTTTATCAAGGTGCTTTTCATTCTGATAGTTGTTTCAGGACTTACCTTTTGAAACTAAGCTATTGAGACCAAGAAGGATGATAGATTCTGCAGTGCTTATGCTGTTTTGCAGCATATGAGGCCAAAATATAAAGGCTAGCTAGAGATATAAGGCTTCTTTTTGCCAGCTAAAATAAGCCAGTTGCGTATCCCATTCTCCTGCCTCTCAGTTGGATATTTTCTCCCCTAAATCCCTCAGTTCTTCTAAAAAAACTTTCCCTAAAGGTTACTTGATTGTAAAGATTTCCTGCGTTCTGACTGTTTATCATCTATCTCTCAACCAACATTTGGGAACACATGAAGCGTTGGTTTCTTCTCGTTGGACATAAAGTCTGAAAAGGCCCAATTTATGGTAATCATCACAAGTTCGAGGGTTTTGTGTTGTTTCCTGTTACCTGTACTTGAAGAGTTTGATACAACGTTTCAAACAAGTGTGTATGTGTATATACACATTAAGTGTATATACACATTAAGTTGCGTAATTATGTTTGATAGTGACTGGTTGTAACCTCTAAGTTTTCTGAATTGTAAGATAGTCGCTTTGTTTCTCTTTCCTGTGATTTGACTTCGTAGCAGTAGGTACAAATCAAAATGCATTAATTAGCTGCATCACAAAATAATGGTGGACACCATTGGCACAGGAGGACGTAACTGTTCTTCTATAACTTCTGTCAGCCAAGAAGGACTCTGGCTGTTGAAGATTAGCTGTCACTTAGCTATTTCACAGACATATAGGTGCACTAGCTTCCATCACGATGAAATAAAAACAAAGCTTAACATTATCAGTGTCGCTTCAGCAGATGTCTGAAGATGAGTAGTTTTGCACTGCTGCTTGTAAAAAAAAATAATCCATAATTATGCATATAGAATTGCTTTGTAAGCCTGTTACCGTTTCCAGACAATGTTTAAAGATAAATGTTCATAATACATCTGTGTTAGAATACTGTCAACAAGTATTCCTAAGTTTGTGGGGTTTTTTTATCAGCTGGGAGGTTTGTCAGTGTGTGATCTACGTATTACTTAATTTTTCTGACCTGTATCAATGTAAGAAGTAAAAAAGATCAAGGTTCTTTCTGAACATGCCTGCTTCAATAATGGAAATAGGATACTAAGTAGCTTGCAGTTTAGAAACAAACTAATTGGACTCCTTGCTCAAAGTTTAATGCATTTATGTTCTTTATAGTTGATATAATTTCCTAAAAGTGCAGCTAGAAATGAATCCTTGGTGTTAATTCCCCCCTCCCCCCCAGCATCTCTGACATAGCTGAATACTTACTTAGACAGGTCACTGGCTCTGAGGCTTTAATATTAACTCTTCATTTTAGGAAATGGATTGCAACTGCTCCCTTCTTTTTATAAACAAATTAGCCTTTTTCAAAAAGGTGTTCGGAGCCGTATATTGTGGATGGAATTTGTGCTAATACGTGAAGATCAATAAACTATTTTTGTTTCTTTCCAATTTATCTGGTAGACTTTTAAAAATTTCTAACATATGCAGTCTTAGTTGGTATTCTGATGATACTGCTTCGAAAATCTGTACCTGATGAGGACAACTTGTCTCTAATAATTTATGTAAATTGCTGTGTTTCCTAGTATATCTAAACCAGCATAAAGAATCTCCACCTCAAGTAAAATAAAGAAATCCTATATGGACAACTTCCCTTGTACTCTAGAATTGCTTACAATTAAAGTTTGATTCTTTCAGTATCCTTATTTTCTGCTGTGTTTTCTCATTTGGGCAATTTCTTTTATTGGCTTGGTTATTTTAAGTTGTATTTTGTTCATAAAAGGAAAGCAGTTTTAATGTTAGCTGAGCATACTGTTCAGAAATTCTTAAAGCTGAAGATTAAATTTAAACTTTATGCAAGGGTTCACAGAAATCTAAATGACTTCTGAGGAATACTAAAGATTATTTTGTGGACAGCCTTTTGGTTTGCAAGTCAGCTGTTACTTAGGGCTCTTTCTCACTCTCTATAAAGGAAAAAAATCATACAGTCTCCTTCTCTTGCATGTATTTGAAAAATGTCATTGATCTTGCTTGCAGTTGGCATCTTCACCTGTTGTATGGCTGGCATAATTTGAGGTTGTTTAATTTAGGATCTCCCTCTAGTGGATCTACAGGCACAGAGATGAAGACACTGGGTGCCTGTACCACTGAGCATGCAGTGACGGGCTTTTTGTCAGTCTAGTGAGTTCAGAATGCAGAATGAAGGTGTTTGAAGTTGGAGTAAAGGCTTTACTGCAACTGGCAATTTTCTTCTAAAAAACAGGATAGGCTTGTCTCAAAGGACTCTGAACTGATGGCTGCCTTGTCAGTGAAATTGTCTGAAATACGCTGTGTCTTTTTTTTTTTTTATTTTTCCTCTCCCTGATTTGCAGTGCTGATCATGTGATCGTCCTAATTTCTCTTATGCTGGAACATTTACATTTAAATCAATGTAAAAATCAAAGTGTTTTCACTCTGTTATGGTTTGAATGACTGTATTAGCTAGTAGCTATTCAAACAGACCCTCTTATCCTGCTGGCTGCTGGCTAGTCGAGCAGATTGTAGGTGACCTGCACATCCAGAAGGGAAAGGCAACAACACAGAACTGCACTTTCTCCTGGAATTTTAAGGTAGACTACTAATGCTACAAATTCCTGCCCCATACTGTTCAGGAGATGTAGTAAAACGAACCGAGATTTGTTTCTGGTACTCATTTGGGAAAATTTTGAAAGACTTACTCATTAAATAATTGTCTGAGGTGGTCAAAAGTTACATCTTCATCAAATGACAAGTATGTGGCATCAGTTTAAGAGGTCATTTGAAGAGGATTTCTGGCTTTAAGGCTGTGTGCGGTGTGGTCAGATATTCAGTAATTGGTCTTAATTGTCTAAAGTAAAGAGGACTGCTTTCTGTGAAGGTTTTGCCTTGCATTACAAAGAAAATTTTTGTATCTTCATTAAGTAGGGCTCAGTGTTGCCATCCAAGTGACTCTGGAATGAGAGAGAAACCTTAGTGAAGGGAAATTAGATGGCTGAGAAAATTCTCTCTTAAGTGACATCTGTCTTCAGCCCCAGGAAAGCCTTGCTAAGAGAATAAGAAACTAATTATGAGATTTATATATGCGTAACTTGCATTTGAGGAGTTACTTTGAGTTGGTCGTTGCAGAACATGAAAGCGGCAAAATAAGAACTGAAGGGTGTCATACTACTGTATATAACCCTATTCTAATTCTTTCTAATAGAATTACATATATACATAAGATTCGTGATGGTTTTTGTACTAATCTTTAGGAGTTATATATTGGTTCTTGAAAAAATTTTGGGATATTCTGGATATAAAGGCAAGGATGGGAGTGGCTTCAGTGAAGCTGTTCTAATATTGCTGTAGATGACAATTTGTAGGAAAATGGGAAGGAGGAAAAAGAAACTTGGTTGGTTGGGGTGTGGTTTTTTGTTTTGTGTGTGTGGGGGGGTGTTGTTGTTTTTTTATTTCCAGGGTCTCTTTATTTTGTTAGTCTTATCTTGGGGGAAAAAAAATGAGGTTAAATTTCTTTGAAATTATTAGTAACCCTAGAAGTTAAGTTGTCCGGTTATTAATAGTGAAACCTTTATGGGCAAATGATGCATGCTTTTTCCACAGCTGTATACTGATGTGCGGTCCTTTCTCTTCCAGCGAAGATAGTTCATTAAATCCTTGCTGATAGGGGAATGCACTTACCCATATCATAGATTGAATAATTTAGTATCTTTGGGAAATGCAAACTGAAACAAAAACTGGGGTTGCCTAATTGGAATATATGTAGAGACTATAGGAGACTGAAATGAGAAATGTGTATGCGGGGCTGGGGGGGGATTTCAAGTGCTTCTCCTCGTACTGTTGTGGTTCACATCATGCTAAAACTTGTTTTGAGAGAAGAATGATTCTACTGCAATGAAGTAATTATGCTATACCTGTACTCTTGGCAAGCCTCTGGAGCAGGCTGTCAGCGCGCCCTGTCAGAATGGGAGTAACATGATGTAGTATTATTACCGGTGTTGTTAGAAGT